ACAATGAGAACCATAATGCAGGCGTGTTGCCGCCTGTAATTATCACAGCCTGGGGCACAATTAAACCCTCCAGGGTGTCAGAGGAGCTCCCTGAGATGAGGCACTGTTTAAACTCCCTGCCCCCACAGAAGGGCCTTATATCTGCAGGCGCCACCTCTGGGGCTCGTCCCTGTTCGCTGCAGCAGTTTCTCAACCTGGGCACTATCACACCTTGCAGGGAGCTGTCCTGTGTGTAATACGATGTCCATCAGCACCCTAGCCTCTACCCACTAGATGCCCGTAGCAGCCCCCCAGTCATGGCAATCAGACAAGTCTTGAGACATGGCCAAATACCCTCTGGGAGGCACAACTGCCCCTGTGGAGAACCACTGCATACAATCTCTGCTGGGGTCTCAAATCTCCTCGGACAGTCCACTCCCTCTTCAGCCCCAGACCTCTCTGCTAAACTCCCTACTCAATCCATAAGGCCAGCTGTTTGCCAGATTGGCTCTTCCAATGCAGTATGGCCTGTAACGAGAGGCACAATCCATCTAGGACACCCCCCTCTGACCACACAAGTGCTATTTTCTCTGACCACCTGACACAGAATCTTTGGCAATGGATTCCTTCTCTGCATGTAACCCAAAGGAAAATACATGCAAGTATCTCATCTGATAAGTGTCCATAACAGCCACCATCTCCTGGGGCTATGGTAGGAATAAAATGATGTTCTGTAAGACGAGGCAGCTCTAGGGTCGTTTGCCACGTGCTGAAAGTTCAATGGATGTTTACATCCACGTTTTTAAATAATTGAGTAATAGACACAAAGGTGTTAAAGCATGGCCGGGTGACATAAGCAAAGGGAACGCCGCGTGTCAGTACAAGAGATGGCACTTACTAACATGGAGGTAGTGGGGTAAAAGAATCAATGGCTAGACGGATGGTCGGAGGCGGTCCCTATTTCCAGGGAATGATGACATTGTCAGTGAGTGCCTGTCACAGGCCTTCTTGGTATCCCTCTGCTCTCCCCTCCAGGGGAATCTGTGTATGGCTGGTGCTTAGCGAAGTCCTATTGGTCAAACACCAACGGTCAATGACCATTTCTTTCCACGCCTATCTGAGAAGGAAGAAGGAGAAGGAGAAGGACTGTATTTACGAGTTAAATGAGAACAGACTTCAAAAGAACCAAACTAGGAAATCACAGCCAGCTGCCTGGCAAGGATGTTAAACCAGCAGAGCCTCAGGGCCCGGGGACTCTGTTCTCCAGGGGCAAATTTAACCCACATGTTTTGCCAACTCCAAGGAACAAGATGGGTGAAACGGAATTCAGCCTCCATAAAAGCCAATTCCGAGGATGTGTCCTGCTCCTTTGAAGAAACAAGAATTGTGTCTTAGCCCACAATGTCCAAAGCAGAAATCTTCTGCTAAGATTGAGACCCTGTAGAAGGCCACAGCTGCCATTAACGGCATAGCCTACAGGGCATTTACTCTCCGCGAATTCCCTGGCTCTGTGCTTGCTGGAATGGGACTTGGTCGCTGAGGGCTCAAGCTTCCCAGTGGCCCCTTGGCTGAGTTACTGTGGTCAAGTCCTTTTCCCGCTCTGGGCTATTGTGGGTTCCCTCATCATTAACATGAGGGACTGGCTTAGATGATTTCAAAATCCTTGCCAGAAATAATATCCTATAGTTTGAATCATCGCCCAAGCTTGAGTTCTAGGCAGTGGTTTGTGTGTGTGGGTGCAGGTAGGTGCATGTGTCTGCACTTGTGTGTGTCCGCGCCGCCCTTTCACTTGATTGCCAATGTCTCACATCACACGCCAGCAACAAATACAGATCGTGGAGACTTCATTCTAGCACCCACTGCCTCCTAAACCGGTGAAGACCCCGAGAAAAGCATGGCATGTCTAACACACGTAAATACGCCTGGAAAGCTTTTCAACCTCGAAGGCCTTTCTTTTTTCCTCCCTGGCAGGTATGCTAAATGTGTGCACATAATTCTGTGACAAATACTGTACACAGCTGTGCTTTACAAAATCAGGTGTCTCATTTACCCAGGAAAGCTGATGTGCCATCTAATAAACAAGACTTTGAGACTAACTTTTTTTTCTGAATAATTATGTTCTGACGGCTGCATAGATCACAAGAGAATCAAATTATTTTGATACAGCCAAAAAAAAAAAGCACAGAAGTATTGCCACTAGAATTCCAGGGGAGTCCTGGGAAGGTGGCTGCTTTGATTCTGTATAAATAAGAGAATAATTTGAAAACCCATTGTTCTCCCCATCACAGTGTAGACTGAATGTGTTAGTTCTTTATCCCTATTTAGGGATTTTATATATATATATAAAAGGCTGTTACCTAAACCTTCTAAATATCTAGATATTCTCTTATATTTGTCATTTACCCCTGCATTGTGTATTCCACACACCTCCAACAATAACTGACCTAAAAAATAAACAAATGCCATGGTGTCATTCCTTGCTGAGGTCAAAGTGCAAATCTACTAGCATGGCCTGCAGGCTCTGCAGATGCCCTGTCTGGCCCCTCCTTTACTGTCCACCTCACCTGCACCTTCACTGCAGATGCCCTCTTCTCACCTGCAGTCACGTGGTACCTCTCCTGGTCCTGCACGCAGTACTCACATTCTTTCAGGCCCCAAGCCTTTGTCCCTGCTGTTTCCTCTAGCAGAATTGACTTCCCAGCCCTTTATTTCCCTAGGAAACTCCCATGCCTCTTTAAGACCCAGCTCAAATGTTTATTCTTCAGGGAAGCCTTTCCCAAATATCCTCATCCACTTGATCAGCAAATATTTGTCATGGATCCCCAGTCCCAGGTGTTTATGAGTCAGAAATCAATAATGAGGGAGACACCTTGAAAGCTTGGAAACCAGAGATGTTACCAAGGAAGCAAAACAGCGCTCCTGAGCTCAGGGCCTGCGTACAGTGGCCGGCCGTCAGCGTGGAGTAGCACTGCTGCAGAGATGGAGGAGTGATTTGCCTGGGTCACAGGGAAGCTGGGAAATCCAGGAGCTGGTGAACGCAGCTACAGGCGGGGTCATCTGCTATGCCATCAGAAATGCCACCACAACCAGGGTGACTAGTCCAGCTGCTGGCACTACCAAGGCCCAGGATGGGGCCCTCAAGTGAAGCAGAGCTGGGTCAGGAGCTGGTCAAACAGGTGGAGGCAGGGAGGTGGACATCTCCTAGGTACTTGGAGGAGGCCTGCTGAGCCTCACTCTGGGGAAACAACAATGGACTCCTGCAGGGCCTCAGGGAGGGGGCCGGACACCAGTTCTCAGTACCTTAAACAGCAAATGAGTAGGTGGTGGGGGTGAAGCCACTGTGGGCAGAGGCCCCTTGGCCTAGTGCTGGGGGCACATGGTAAGCTCTGAGCACCGGCCTGCTGTGTGGCTAGGTGAGTTAGCAAGTACATGACTGAGTGAACTAGGGCCGGGGTGCAGGGATCCCCAGGCTGTCAGGAGAGCAGAACTTTGCTTTAGTATCTCCTTCAGTTTCCCTTTGAAAGAGAAGGCTCCAAGGCTTCTTGTCAAGAACAGTGAGATGGGAGACAAGTGAGAGTGGGAAATAGGACCACTTGAAGAAATACGTCAGGGGTCACCTTAAATTGTTTCCTCTTGGACTTATCAAAGAAAAAAGGGAAGTAGTCTAACAGGGTTGTTTTTAATGAGATCCAGCCTAGACATTGACATTCTGCAATGGGGTTCTACATACTCTCAATAGGGTTGCTTAAGGGCATGAGCTGTGCCCCACCCTACCCCTCCATAGGACACTTACTGACTTAGCCCACTAGCAAGCTTCTGGCCAACATCTTAGTTCCTAGATGCTTCTCCTAGTAGCAAAATACCCTTTTTCAGTAGACAGAGGACATTGGCCAAATAGAGCCATGACCCAAGCCACAGCTCAAATGCTCTAAGGAAGTCCAGAAAACTCTGTTCCTAGCACGGGGCTATCTCACTCCCCTCTCACTTTCAAGCAGGTTGGGAAAGCACTGTGGGGGAGTGTGCATGCCAGCCAAGCAAAGGATAATTCTGGACCCCAGTGAGAGTTCAGGCAGAGAAGAGATGTAGCGAGGAGTCAAGACCAGCCCAGATGCCCAATCTCGAGAGAGGCTCAGACTTGTCCCTCCTGCTGGGCAGAGCCCCATGGTGGCCACTGGGTCTGTGCAGAGTCCATCACAAGGAGGAGAGTCAAGGAAATGACTCTCAAGGCATTGAGAGTCAATGGGGGGGAGTTGCCTTGAGGAGGACTGAGACACCAGGATGAGGAGTCTCTGAATTCACCAGGGCCTGGGGAGCCATGGAAGCCTCTGGAGCAGAGGAAGCACATGACATGGGGGGCTGCAGGAAAGAAAGGAGCAGAAGAGCAATGGGAGGAGCATGACCAAACAAGGGAGAGCCTGCATTTGAGCTACAGAGCCTGACATCCTGCCCCAGGCTGAGTGCCGAGTGTTCCAGCTGCACAATATACAGACTAGACCCCCATGGTAGCCTTGCAGAGTAGCCAAGGAGCTGCCTCCCTGGAATGCACCTTGTCTCAGGAGTAACAGGTGCCCAACAGCGAGTCAGTGCTGCAAGGGGAAAAGGCTTGCTTTGCATGTGGACAGTTGGGGCTGGGGCCTTGCTGGCATCACGCTAGTCTCGTGACTGTAGGTAGGGTCAGGCTTAGATGAAGCCCAGCAACCAGTACAACAAATTGCCCATGGCAATTTGTGTGTGTGCAAAATGAAGTGTGACACCAAGTGTGTGCAAAATGAAGTTTCCTCTGCCTCTCTGACCACTGGTCCCCTCTCTGCAAAATCCCCCATGTTAGGGTGACATTTGTGGTGTACTTGGAACACAGTAGAAGCTCCACAAATGACTTCATGACTCATTATCCCTCATGGGTAAGGAAAGGAATCTGTAGATCTCAAATTGTGAGAGAACCAGTAACTAATCGAATGTCTAGACCAGAGCTCTTTAATTTTTGTAGCATTTTATGTTCCAAAACTTGCCCATGTCCTTATTTCATCTGATAAACCAGGCTACCTATGGTCAGCACTGAAATCAGCCTCAACAGAAAGTTGCAGGTTAGAGGTGGACCAGACAGGGGCCGGATGCCTTGCCTCCCAGCCCAGGAACAGCCCTGGCCTATACCACGACTTTCCTGGTACAGAGCTTGTAACACAGTGACATGGTGCTTGAGGGGCTGTCTTCTCTCAGACCAGTTCTCTTTAAGGGAAAGGAGCTAATTTAGCAAGACCGGAGACTGGGGAACAGGTAGGCCACAGACACCATGTGCAGAGCTCAAAGGACCAGTTTGGCTTTGGTTGAGTTAATTCCTATCACTAAGGCAGTGTGGTGGCCCCCAGTGACTCTAAGACCCTGTGGACAATGACTCTGTATTCTGAGTAGTCTCGAGAGCCCGTCCAGGAGTTGGTGGTAAGTCCATCCTTCCAGTGTGATATAAGTCAAGGAGCAGTCAAGGAGCCTATATAGCTTACCCCAGCCCTGCAGAGTCTGAGCCAAAATCTGTCTAACTAGTTCCAAACCTTTCTGCTTATGGGGCTGATGCTTCTGACGCCTCCCTGTCCCCTTGGGCTTGCCTAGACCCTCCTCAGGAAAGGAATATAGTGGCTGGAACAGGCCAGTGCTTCCAAAAGGTGATTTGTCAAAGAAGTCCCAACTCATACCACAAGCCCAGGCGAAGCCCCACAAGTTCTCTAAGCAGGGCTGGATGCCTTTGAGGGCAGATGGCGTTGGTCTTTATTGATAGTACAATAAATTCTGCAAGCTGTAACTTGCAAACATTCTCCTTAAAAATGTTAACTTCTTGTTCAGAATATCTTCCCATGGCCAACCAGTTTATCCATCTGGTATACCCCTCCCTAATCATGTGTCCATCAAAATCCACCTCTTCCTTCAGTACTTAGCTCACATTCCTTAATTAACTTGATCTCACCCAGTGGTGACACCTTCCTTGAGGTTCCCATGGTTCCACATGCAGGGCCCAAGAGAGGCGCACACTGATGGCCTTGTCCCCTGGATGTGTGGCACAGGCCGACTGAGCCCTGCTGGGGGAGTGCCTGGGGACAGGATCCGGCTTGGTTCGTCTTCAGTCACTCTTGAATGTCCTGTCCATTAAGGCTGGATAAATATTTCTGGAATGCATTTGCTGTTGAAGAAGACTCATTTTTCAGTGAAGAGAATCAACATTTGGGTCCCAGAAGAACTGTGCTGTTGTTTTGAAAAGGAGTGGAAATTACTGACCTTCAAAGCACTTTGAGCTGAGGGTGTGTCTAAAACAAAACAGAAAAAGGAGATGAGTGAGGGTGGGGAAGGGACAGAAAAACTTTCCAGCTTTGGTGTCACACCCAGAAGAACATCTTCTCAAGCCAGGAGGGGGTGGGTTCAGTGCGGTAGGAGCAACACCTCCTTCCTCTTCCTCATGGTCTTTTGAGGCACTACAGGATGCTCAATCGCGTTTCTCTCAGGTGTGGGGCTGGCATGCTCTGAGCAGATTCTCCTGCAAAGGGAGCCCTGGGTCCCTGGAGGAAGGCAGAATGTGAGTGGGGCTCGATCCAACCAGGCCAGCAAAATGGTGCACACGGCTGGATGGCTGCATCGATCTGCCGGGAGCCGGAGGAGGGCTGACGGGGCCAGGCCTGCTGTGCTCAGCAGGTATCTCGTCTGCTCTCTCCTTCGCCACACAGCGCAGCCTTGAAAGAGTCTGTTTGCAATTACAGCTTGTTTTGATTATTAGGTCAGAATATTCATCTCCATGGGCTCATGATAAAAGGCCAGAGCAAGACAGCATTTCTCATTCCAGACTAAGTCTCCCTCTGTGTGTGTGTGTGTGTGTGTGTGTGTGTGTGTGTGCTTTGCCTTTTCCTTGTTTAATGAATGTATTCAGTTCTTGACTCCAAAAGGGTGGTGGCTCTCAGAGGCAGTCCCAGAGCCCGTGGAAGCAGTAACCCTGCACCATAGGAGTGGGAGGCCTTGGCTGCTCCCTCGGAGCCCCACCCAAGGAGGAGGCTGGAATGGGCGGGCTTTTGACTCATCCAGAAGGCAGCCGGCTGCTGAGAGCAGAGGCTGGCGTGGGAGAGTCCTCGAAGCCCAGGCCAGGAGGGACCT